CACAGTCTCATGGTATTAACTGTATTCAGAGTGAAAGAGAGAGATGAGCTGGGCTTTGCTGATAAGGTTGCATCCTCAGAGGTTTCCCTCTCTCGGGTCCATATTTTATATAAAAGGCAAACTTCTTTTAATAAGTTTCTACAAAGAACAAATATTCACATTTGCTGTTCAGAGATCAACACTGATCCCAAGAACATGAAAACACTCTTAACTTCCTCTGAAAATAAATGGGATTTCAGCACACTTAATTCTCTCTGCACTGTGTATCCAGTGGCCCTGACTTGGGCGCGTTCCAGTAAATGTAAAAATACTACCTGAATGGAGGAAAAGGTTATTAGAAAGTAGTATGTGTATTGTGCTGCTCCTGAACAGAGCAGAGGAGGGAATGCAGGAAGATGGAAATGAGGAAAATTATACTGAGTAAGTGCACGCAAGCTAAACTTCACTTCTTTCATATAAGTTTCATACATTTCACTCTCCTGTTATAACCTATATATCCCTCCTTCCATCAGGAATGGCTTTTTGAAGATGCTGGGAGGTCCACTGGAGAAGAAGAAACTGGGAGCTCCCACCCAACGCACCCAAACAAATAGCTTTTCAAAGACAGCGGGAACGAAGCAAAATGAAATCAGCAATTCACTTTTGGCCAGAAGAGATTTAACGCAGCACTTACATTGCACTTACACTGCACAAGGCAGCAGATACTTACATTATCATTGGGGTACAACACTCTGGATATGTTTTCTGCCAGGTTTCTATCCAACACAGCCTGGATATAATCACCAACATTAACTAGGGGAAGAGGATGAAGGTAGAGCAGTCACATCTACGAAGTGGAATACCCCAGGAACTGTAGGCGTCTACCACTGCACAGCACTAATTTCATAGCTTCACTTTACCCCTTCCCTTTGTTCACTGAGGTTTTCAAAAGTTTCAGCTTGAATCTCAAGTTTTGTTTACAACTGCAAGAGGAAAAATTCCAGGCGGAATGTATTTCAAATGGGAAGCAAACAACTGGATTCTTTGCTCAACTGTCTGTCTAGCTCTTGAGACATGTTAAACTGAGCGCTGCTGGGGAAATGATGAACCAACTCCTTCATACATACATGTTACCTGTTTAGAACCTAAGCATGTGGAAAGTCTTTGTGTACTTTCTAAGTGTGTACATCTAAATAATACAGATGACATAATCCTCTTCAGTACCTGCTACTGAAGGAAATTTTAATAGCACTTATGGTTGGGGCCAGTTTATCTGTTTCTATTGTTATGGGCTAAACTGTATGTGACATTAAACCCATCCCATTTGAATGTGCAAAAGTGTTTTTGTTTGAACTGAAGTCATGAGAAAACTAAAAAGAGAAATCGATCTCTGGCTCACAAGAGGCATAATTCTTTACCCTGTGTCCTAGTTCTGATAAAAATCCTCTTCCCAACTCTGTTATCTACAAAGGAAGGGAAGCTGGTTATTGGCACTAATAGCATCCTCTTTTCTACAGCAGAATGGCTTGGAGAGGGAGGATCTGAAAGCGGCTGCAATGAAGGAAGAAAGAGTTAAATTCCAGTCACCATGGGCCAAACTTCTCTCCCTAGCTGCTATTTAAGAAACAAAAATTACATGCTCAGTAAATTAAATAAAACATGTGCAGAGCAAACATTTGGTGGCTGGTATTCCTTTTCTTTTCTTCTTGAGAACATGTAATAGTAGATAAACACAACGAAGAATTCGCTTCACCCACCTCTGAAGCCAAACTACACTAATTACCTGATGTACTGAAAACGGAGAAGCTGTTTTGCACGCTCCCTTAGACCCATGAATTCTTCCAAAACAAAAAGATGGTGAAATCAACCAATTCCAAAATAAGACAACTTACACTCTTCAAGGTTGAAATCATTAGGTGCCTTGGCTGACCACAGTCTCATGGTATTAACTGTATTGTTCTTGTATCCTGGAACAGGCGTATCATAAGGCATGGCAAGAACAACCTAATATGAAGCAAGAGGTCAAGTAAAGATGGGCTAACAGAGTGACATAAAAATGATAGCAACCTGTAGCTAAAGGGCATTGCAACTGTTCACTCAAGTATATCCTGCTCATTTTATTTTAAAAAGGTGATTCACAATTCCAAACAGCATAGCTTAATATATTCCAAACAATAACATGAGAAAAATAATGACATTAAATAGCAAAATAGACCCTGGTATCATCAAAAACAAAGTTGGGAGCTCAACAAAAGGAAAGCAATCCCAATACAAAAAGCAGAAGAGAAAAGAAGATAATCCAAGCCTCCTTTTGGAAAGGTTTTAACTTGGCATTTAAGAAAGTTCAGTGCTGGGGCTCTGCAGGTCTTGCTAGGCAGGCACTTGACAGAACAAAGAAGGATCTGCTGTTCTTTAACCTGCAAGGGAACTTGGAGCTCAGCCACAGACGTTATTAAGTGAAGCATTCAAAGAAGAACATTCTTTGAAAGGGCTGGAAGTGAATTTAATTATATAATTCTCCCCACTCCTGGCAGTTTAGCAACCTCACCTTTCCTCTCTCAAATCTCCATTATCTCCTGAAGAACGTCTTTGTTAGTATAACAACATAAGGAATGAAACCATGACTAGGTTCATGCAATGCACTAATTCAGGAGTGCTCCAAAGGTGCAGACTCTGGGCCTTGCGTGGTTCAGAGCAGGCCACAGCGCCATCCCCAGATTCCCCTGCCCCACTCTCTATCCTCCTGTGTCCACCTATTGCTGCATTTCCCATCTGCTCTCGACCAGATATTTCCTACTCCAAATGCTGCCCTCTTGCCCCTCTGTCTAGGTCGTCTTTCCTACCCACCCACTCTTTCTTCTTTCTGCGTGCCAAACTGCTTTCTTTCCTATGCTTTATCTCTCCCAATTGATGTCCTCTTTCTTGACTATTCTACTTTTCTTCTGACGGCCACAACCCTGTCTTTCCTGCCAACTTGGCCCGATTCTTCCCAACCTATTCATTCTCCTCCAGCCTCCCCTCGCAGCTCTCTCCACCCTCTCCCCATCATTCCATCCAGCCTCCTCCTCCAGCCTTCACTGGCTTCCCTCCTCTCCTGCCGGCTTTCCCCAGCCTCCCTGTGCTGTGCTTACAGGCTGCATGTTCTCTATTCCTTCCAAAAGTGGAAAAAAAGTTGTAACCTTTTTTTTCTTTAATGGGGGAACTATGAGACCAAGACTCTGTTCTACTCATAGAAACAAAAACATGTCCCTTTTCCCCTCCCTTTTCTGGAACGGAAGGAAGAAGCAAGTTGCTTCTTTCATTTGTTCCAAAGCAAACAAAAAAGATCAGCACTTTTTGCATTAGTAGAGAAGCTTTGAAGTAGCAGCTTCTTTTTTAGTGTAACCATCACAATTTCTTCTAAAATCAGTAGCACAATTTAAGAACAAATATTAGAAAATAAAGGAATAACATTAAATATAAAAAATAAAGTATAAAGTGTTATTTTTAAAATATTAAAAATTACATTAAATAATTGAAAGTAATAAAAACAAAAAATACTATAAAATACAATTTTAGAAAAATAAATAAGTGTCCCCCAGTCCCTTTTAGAGTATGGCTTTCGAGATGTGCCATGAAGCCCAATGCAGCCCTAAAGCTGGCAAGCGTTGGGCATTATTCCATAAATTACTTTATTAGTTTAATGAATAAACCACAAATGTTTAGATTCATGAAACACATTAATCCTTAATAGGACAAACCATATTTTAATATGGCATGAGTTCTAGGATACTGTTTTGATTTATTTATCAACAACAGACTTATTTTTTAATCAAAGATGGGCCAGAACAATCAGTATTAAAACTGTGAAATTATTAGCTTTATTACAGAGACATATATCAAAAGTGATACAGTGTGTTATATGCACATGTGAAGAAAGTATCTGAGCAGAATTTCTCATATGCCTTAATCACCTGGATCAGCCATCCCAATCTGGTGCCCTCTGGATATGTTACAGCTACAAAACCCAGAACGTTCTCCATGACCCAGTCAAAGGATGGCTTGAACACACCATGAAAACAGCCACTTTTGTATGAAATTATGTTAGAGCCTCCCTTAAACTAACGCAGAAGAAAAGTCTAGGCTATATAACTATGGAATTTGCTGCCATAATATGTTGCAATGATCACCAGTTTAGATGATTCAAAAGCAGATTAGACAGATTTATGGAAGATCAAGCTATCAATGTCCACCCCTCTCAATGGCAATTTACTACCTTCTGAGTGGGGAGATTACCTCAAATATCAGCTGCTGAAGAGCAACAATCAACAAGTCTCTTGTCCTCCTGTATATGTTTGTGAGATTCCTGAGGGTAGTAGATTGGCCAATGTGTGCCAGAATGTTGGTCTGCTGGTTTGATCCAACAGGGCACTTCATATTAAGCCACATAGATTTGCCTGACTCAAGTGGCATAAAACTACTTGGAATGAATGAATGAATGAATGAATGAATGAATGAATGAATGAATGAATGAATGAGGAGGACTATTCAAAGTGGGAGTGGAAACCAGAACTGGACAAAGAAGAAAAGCAGCCCCAGTTTAGAGGTTTTGGATGCTGATCTGGAACACCCAGGATCGATTAGCTGGCTGACATAGGCTTGGCAAGTTGCTGTGTCCAAATCTGATCTACCTCATGAGGCGGTTATAATGCTATCAGCATGCTCTAAATGACTTGGTTTTATAAAAAATTAAACATCTATGGGAAGTTTATGGGCTAGTCACGTATCTCCTAACAAGTGAAAAATGAAACACTGAACTACCTATGGAAAGTTGTGTACTCCTAAACAGCTGAAAATGGCACCAAACCTCAGTTCTGAATGTCTCTCTAGCAAAGAACAGTCATTTGTTTAGTCAATCTCAAAGGAATGCTGCTGTTTAAACCAATTATATGCTGCCCGGCAACAAATGTGGGACACCGTGGCCCACTGTCTATGTGGAAAACATAAAGAGGCTGCAGCCAGAGCAGGCCCAAATATGGCTTGTAAGAAGCATAGAAATCCATGTTTTGAATTGCTTTGAAGGCTTCTCATGTTTGCAAAAGCTCATGCTGCAATAATCTGTTTCTAAAGTACCATAGGATACTCTGCCTTCAGTACTGAGATGACATCCAGAAAAATATGCCAGAACCTGTTCTTCTGACAGTTGAGGAAAAATTATCCAAGCATTTGGCTTTACAGGTAGTCCTCACTTAATGACCACAATTGGGAAGGGAATTTATCAAATCTAAATCTAAATCTAAACCTAAATGATACTGTCTGTTACTTGAATCATCACGTGACTGGACCCGATTTTATGACCTTTTTTTGCGGTGGTTGTTAAGTGAATCACATGGTTCCCCATTGATTTTGCTTGACAGAAGACGGCTGGGAAGGTCACAAATGGTGATCACGTGACCCCGGGACACTGCAACTGTCGTAAATGCGAGCTGGTTGCCAAGCGTCCAGATCACGATCAGGTGGCCTTGGGGGTGCTGTTACCATTGTAAGTCACTTTTTTAGCGTCATCATAACTTTGAACAGTCGGTAAATGAACAATCATTAAGTGAGGACTACTTGTAAAGACTTGTAGTCTTGAACCAGTTCCCATTCATTGCCATGGTGTTCGCAGAGAAGGTATTTTTAGTGGATTGAGCCCTTTGTTTTTTCACTTGCATAACATGGTTTTCTCCCATTTTTTCTTTTTTTGGGCAATGACTCAGACACCACTTTTACAAATTTGATGTTTTTACGTGCTGCCTATGCTGCCTGGGGATTATGGGAATGGTGGTGGTCTCAACATATCTGGGAGGTACCAGGTTATGGCAGCCAGCAGTTTGACAACAACAATAAAAGGTTCTGGTTTGTTCAATTTAATCAAATCTCCACATCATTTGCATGCAAATTGATCTGATTTGGATCAATCCACACAATGTTTTTGCAAGCATTTATGCACTTTTATAATTCAAACTGATCCCAACTGAACTGACTCAGTCTGACTCAGACAATTTGACCTAAATAATTTAGAATAAAATCAACATACAAACTGGAATAATTCAAACTGCATCGTTGACACATTCTTAGTATCTGTTTGATGGCAAAGCTATTGAGGAAGCACCTATTGCTCTTGCCCTTGCCTTCCTTGATGCTTCCTTTGATCATTACTCTACTAGATGGTTGTTCTCACACAGCCCTTCAAAGTGAGTTGCAATCCATCAAGCTGGGGAAGTTCTACAGGATAATTATTGTCCTTGTAACGTGGAGGATAGGTAGACAAGTATTCATTGCTATTGTCAAAGACTCCAAACACAAGACCATCAACATATGCCCTTTGGCTCTTTTGTCCTCATGATCAATGGTTTCCTATATATAGCTGTAAAAGGTTTACCTGAGTATCAATCCATTTAACCCCATTAGGAGTATGGTCTACCCGACCATAGAAATGTACAGGAAGCATGTATTCAGGGCGGGCTTTTTCCCAAGGATTGCCGTACCGCAGCCAATCATCAGCTTCTTCCACCTGAAACAAGGAGAAGTGACTTATCAAAAAAACTGCCTTCTTCAGTCAATGAGGTGAAATTAATGAACAAGGGCTTTTCAATGGCTGAATGGAAGTGAGAGTGCCGTCTCCAAAGATGTTCACCTAGCACAACACTGTAGTCATTCTGGTGCCAGATAATAATCTTTTTAATTTTCCTGTCCCTTTAATTTTAAAAATATATCTTCATTTTAATTATTATAATTAATGCACTGGGAAATGTATGACTATGAAAAAGAAAGTTTATTGTACATTTGTTGATTTTGAGAAAGTGTATAATAAAGCTAATTGAGTTGTTTATAGGTTTATGGAATGCTCTGCACAAACAGGGAGTTGAAAGTTGGTTCCTGAATGCAATAAGAGTAGCATGTAATAGAAATAAAGTATGTGTGAGAATGGATGGAATGCCTAACAAGTGGTTAAAGTGGTTAAGAAGACATCACATATCCTCAGATAAGGAAAGCTTCTGGTGATGTTAGAGGTGGGTCAGTTGGGGACATGAATGTGTGTGTACCTTTGTATAAGGACAATGCCATGTTGTTGACAGAGAACCTGAATAACTTGTAGCATTCTCTGCTGTGGCACCCGCTTTATGGAACATTCTCCCCGCCCCCGCCCGAAGTGAGGTCATCTCCATCCCTACTTATTTTCTGGAAGTCCCTCAAAACCTGGCTATGTCATCTGGCCTGGGGGACTCAGTGGACCGGTGAAAACTTGAGGTAGCTCACTTGCTGATCTAATCTCGTGTGTTTTATCCTTTTTAACCTTTTAATTTGATTGCTTTTGACATGTTTATTGTTTTTTATATTTTTTGCTGTACACCGCCCAGAGTTACTTCTTGTGAGATGGGAGGCCATCTAAATTTGATAAATAAATAAAATATTAGATACTGTATGACTGTATGATGCAATGAGGAGTTGTATCTAAAAATCAGTGCATCAGATCCCAGCAGATATGTCTGACAGGGAAACTGCCAGTTATACATAAATGGAAAAAAAGCAGGACAAGGAGATAAATTTGTGTATCTTGGTAGAAAGTTTACAAAAGATGAAAAAAATAAATGGAGAAATTTTAGCACAATTGCACATGCTGGTAGCAATGTAATGGGTAGAAATGAGGAACATATATGGAAAAAAATGAAAATGGCTGCATATAACAGTATTTCCAACAAACTCACTTCTAATGAAAGTATTTTATACATTTCTCAGTGCATGAATTATGACAATTAAAATTCTTGAGGCTAAAATCTTAGAAGATGCTGCCAGTGTTAATTTTATTATAAAGATATTTATAGCTCCTAGTTCACCTACATAGCTTCAAGGTCTGGCATCATGAAAGTAGCATTTTATGATACTAGCAAACCATGGGATAACCTGTTTAGATATGTGGCACCCACTAAAAATATTTATCAGTTGCTATTTCCTATATAGTGTGTTGCATGCCCACCAACACCAAGTCCAATCAAGGAGCACACCAGCCTTTTCCATTAGACTTCTCCAACATGCCCTTGTGGACAGTATCTATCCTGGGATTTTGGTATTCACTGAACCTGCCATCAGCTGCTGTATCTGGTGCTTAGATTGCCACCTGGCAATGCTAGCTAGTTACAAGAGCTTGTTAAGTAAGATATGTCTTGTGGGCCATCATCTGAGAATCAAAGCCCTACATAAGGATGAGCCAACATCCATCCCCCTCTACATGTTAAATTCAGTTTACATTAGTTTGATACCAGACCCACTTTCCAGAGAAGTAGTGGGCCAACCTTCACTGGATGCGTTCAAGCTGAGGCTGGACAATCATTAGTCAAAGATGTTTGAATCTGTATTCCTGCATTGAGCAGAAGGTTGGACTTGATAACCTAAGTGGCTCCATCCAACTCAACAGTTTTATGATTCTTAGTCAGCGTGGCCAATGACAGGATTCATAGGAGCTGCAGTCTAACATGTAGATGCCCACAAGTTGCTTACTCCATCCTTAGGGGTACTGTGGTGGGTATGTAGTAATGCAACCTGAGTCTCTTGTTATTAAAACAAGCGGTCCATGCCAGCCCCACAATGATGGACCACTTGGGAATTCTCCACTGGCTACACTTGGCACTGCACTTTTTCTGGGGCAGGACCCCTGCTTGGCAGTAAAGTACAGGTAGTCCTTGCTTAACAATGGTAATTGGGACCAGAATTTCCATTGCTAAGTGACATGGTTGTAAAGCGTGATGTCATGTGACCACACAGCTTAGCAGTGGCAGTTCTGGCACTTCCAGCTGCCGTCATAAAGCAAATCCTATGCTGTCATTAAGCATAACATCATGTGGTCACCATTTGTGACCTTCTGTTGGCTTCCCCATTGACTTTGCTTGTTGGAAGCCGGCAATAAAGGTTGCAAATGGTGATCACATGACCACGGAATGAGGCAACGTTGTAATTGTGAGCTGGTCAGTGAGTGCCCGGATTGCAATGACGTGACTGTGGGGACGCTGTGACTGTTTTAAGTACAAGGACCAGTTGTTAAGTACCACTTGTTCAGCACCATTGTAAATTTGAACGGTTGCTGAACCAGTGGTCAATAAGCAAGGACTACCTGTATATCCTTTTTCTACAGACAGACTTGGCTTCAGTTTTTGGTAGCTATGATTAAAATGTTCTCAGATAGTAGGCTTATGTCACCACCCTTCTATCTTGCTGTTTTTTCCTACAGCTTTGGGCAAACTTCAGCTACCATCACAGTTCTCTCCCAAGCCTGATTATCATTAGGAGCACCTGACAAGACAGACAGAACCAAGGAATGATCATTCCCTCACCTGCCAGCCATTGACAATCTTTTGATTAAAAATGCCAAATTCGTAGCGGATTCCGTAGCCGTAGGCTGCAAGCCCCAGTGTTGCCATAGAGTCCAGAAAGCAAGCTGTCATGGAAAAGAACCAACACACTTTATTGCCAGACAGAAATAAACACCCAGACAAGCAGCTGCTACTGATGCAACTCACTGTGCTTGTATTTATAAGACTGCACAGCCCCAAAAGAATGATGAGGGATGGGGTGGGATAGTGGCTAAGAGACTGAGCTAGAAAACATGAAAGATCTAGCTTTTATCTCAGCTCTCCCGTGAACTCACAAAGTGTCCTTAGCAAAGGGGTAATAAGATTATAGAGTTAGCTTTCAGAATTGTTATGTAAAGATTATCACTAGGTAAGAAAGATAGCAGTTTCAACACTTTAATTCATGTGACATAAATTCTATAAAAAGGGCTTTGTATCAAAATTCCAAATAGCTATCCATTTCATCACAGATCTGTTACAGCTCCTGAAGAGCAATCTGAGCGCAGCCATGCCAGCAAAGTCTGGCTATGGAAGAATTCAGCTTCTCACACTGGTCAAACAAGATGCTTATCAAGGCAGTCGGTTAACTGAGAGCCATCCAAAGTCTGCATCCTATTTTATCAGCTCTACACTCCATCTCCTCATTTTCTCTGAATTCCCTTACCCCCCCCCCCCTTATTACAGTACAAATGGTCCTCCTCAGTAGAAAAGCACTGGCATCTTCTCATCAACTGTCACTGCTCACCTGCCAGACGCCCCAGTCCTCCATTGCCAAGGCCAGCATCTTCCTCAATCTCTTCCAACTCTTCTAAGTCTAGGCCGAGCTATTGGGAGGAGTAAGCAAAGGACAGAAAATACCATGACAATGTAAAGTTTTCTACTTGGACTTCCCAAATTCCTTCATTCTAGCCTTCTGATAGAGGAAGAACACCTTATTCAAACTCTGCTTCTCTCTGATCTTGGAGTAAGGTTGATTTCTAAATTTTGTTGCTACTCATAAAATTTAGTTGGAATTCTGTGCTCTTTATGAACATTGCAGAATTTAATGTCACTGAATGAATGGGTGTCTGTTTGTGTGAAATACCTTAAAATCATCTCACTTCCACAGTTTTTCTCTCTTTTCTGTTAAGATCTTAAAAGAGAATCTAATCTCCCAACCCCTGACAAATTTCCTGGGAAAATGCACCCCCAAGGCTAAATAGGTTCTCTACCACTATTTTAATTGAAACAATTTAAATATTTATTAATTAGATTTAGTTGGTTAATTGGTTAGAATCAATTTTAATCAGTCAGAGCAAATTTTAACCAATACAGTCAATCCTGGCATGTTACTTTATCAGAGAATGAAAAAGAAAATGACTTAAACCAGCAATGCTAATAAAATTAGCTACATCATATTTTTGACATACAATGTAAATCAAATTTAAATAGAATGTTTCAAAATTTAAGAGTTTGGGTAGGCTAACTACTTGGGTAGAAATTTGGTGCTCTGATTGAATGGCAGTTGCTCCCAGCAAAGCTGATAGTGAGGCTTCAATGTCTCCCTTGTCTCATTGATGCCCTCCAACAGAATTTACCTATCACATCTGAATCTAGCCCTCTGTTGATTTGGGAAATGCACATTTGTGTTATCAGATTTGTCCCTACCAACAACTTTGGTCAGGTTGAGAGACTGGTCCAAGATCATCCAGCGCGTATCTCATTTGAGATGAATTTTTAACCCGGATCTGTGAATGAGGCAGCCTCTCATGCAACACATCTGAAGGGGCAGCTGGATCTAGAAGGCTTATTTTGGAAAACAACACAATATGCCCGCAGCCTGATCTAATCATGTTTAATGTACTGCAGTTTAAAATAGTATATTCCTTTGTTTCTACCAAGGTCCTTGTGACAACCGCCCTTGGGGCTGGTATATCTCTCTGGGTTCTTTCCGTTGCTGGTTATGTGCAATGACAAACAACTCAAGAAGCAATTGAATAACTTTCTGACTGAAGCTTTACTCACTGCTCAAAAGGGTTGTATACAAAAATTAAGCTGCAGGTTAAAACTTGCTTGATTCAAAGCAAACAGTCCCATAAAAGTAAAAGCAGGTAAATAAATCCCTTTTCTCCTAAGCAGCTTCACGTGAGCAAGCCTTGATGATGAATAACACAGACAAGTGGGCTCTCCCTCCTACAGATGAAATAAAGGCTTGAAATTTGCAGCTTCCTCAAGAAAGTTGGTTCCAGCAGGCCAGCAAGGATTCAAAGCAGACATCCTTTCTTCTCCAAAGCTCTCCCCTCCCCCCCCCTCCTATAGCTCCAGGGCTTATCTGAAGCACCCTCTCCAGGATGGCCTCCACCCCCTT